TCTCTTTAAAAAACTGTTCAGAGGGAGGATCTCAGCCTGTGTACCTGTCACTATCCCAAATGATTCAAACCACTGGCACACCTTGAACAAATGTATGTGAAAGACTTGCCAGAATGGTTTTCAGAGAGGCCCCAGTACAGTAGCCACAGCATTACCTACAATCATCATAGAAACATAAACCTCAGCCCTTCCCCATCCCTGACCTAGTGAATCAGAAACTAGAGTGATGGGAATCCACAATGTGTATTTTACACATGATCTTAGCCAAAAGGCCGAGAAGTGATCACAATGTGTATTTTAACAAGCCCTTCAGGGAATCCTAATGCACACTTAAGTTTGAGAAATACCAATTCAGCACGACTGACATTTAATGTCAGTGCAAATAAAAAATATTTTCTACAACTATTCCAGATAGTTACTAAGCTCTAGGAGGGCATGAGCCAAACCTGTCCTGTTCACCATGGTATCTCCAGTGCATGGTTCAATGCAGACACCAGACACTAAAAACTTCTTGCTGAATAAATGAATGCATAAATCTGTAAGAAATAAGAACCTTTAAGCTGCCACAAGTATCACACACAAATAATTGCCTAATATTTTTTCCCTGGGGGGAATCAGAATAGGGGAGGATAAGGACAAGAAAGAAATAGAATTTTTTCCCCTAAGAATTCCAGCCCATCTTTCTCACATACTTTGAACTTATATCTCAAATGTAGTCATGCCTTAAAAAAAAATTCGTTATAGTTTGAATCTTGAAAGTTCTGCAAAAGCCCATGTGTTGGAGAATTGGTCCCAGTCCATGATACTATTGAGAGGTGCTGGAACATTTAAGAGGCAGACCCTGAGATGTCTCACATCACCAGGGGTGTGGCTTCAAATGGGACAGAAAAGCCCAGTCTCCTCTTTCCCTTCCTGCCCAAGGGGTGTCCAGCTCTTCGCCATCATGTGCTCCCAACCATGATGTGCTGCTCCCAACCATGATGTGCTACTCCCCACAGGAGCAAAGGCAATAGGGACAACTAACTATGGACTGAACCCTCCAAAACTATGAGCCTAAACAAAACTTTTCTCTTTATAGGTTGCTGGTCTCAGGTATTTGATACAGTAACTGAAAGCTGACCAGCACAGTTTTATACTAAACTTTCCAATCCACAAACTTAGCAAGTTTGAGGATTCCGTCAGTGTGAGATGGTCCAGGCTGTTAGGCTGTGGCTTTTTCCAGATGCCCCAGATTCCTCTCCTTGACTCTCTTTGCATATTTAATAATAGTGTTAGAATTAATGTTTGCTGGGCAGGGTGACCTAATGAGTTGTGATCTTGAGAACTCAACAGATTCACTTGTACCCTTCAACCAGGAAGTACTGCAAGTGTTTTTCACTATATCCACCGTATGGAGGAAAGGATCTCTTTATAAAGAGAGGATGCTGCTTACTTTGGCTTTGGTGGGATAGACTGAGTGTGGGTGCAACTAACAGTAGCAGACAGTTGCCCAGAGATGTTCTTTATTTTTCCTTTCCTCATTTTCTGAAGGGGAGAATGGTAATATTACATTAAGCCAGGAAATACTGAACAAAAGCTATTAAAGGCTGTAATAAGAACAAGCTAGTTTATTATAATATGTCCACATGGCCTCTCTAAAGACCATTTTCTCTCATTACAAACTGGGAGCAAAGGTACTCAGAATGATAATAGTTATTACTTACAAGTCAGGTTTCAAAGAATTTCTTGTTTTCCTAAAAATGACATTTATGGGTATGAATAAGATTCCTAAAATTCATTTTTAACAGAAATGTCTTAAACAAAAACATAATTTTTTCAGATATAGGGGAAAATCTATGATTAATATGCTACAACATTCTCAAAACAGTAAGGTAGGGCTGGGGATTTAGCTCAGTGGTTTCGCTGCCTGCTGCGCAAGCACAAGGACCTGAGTTCAATCCCTGGTACCAAAAAAAAGTATGCAACAATAAGGTAAAAGACAAAGCCTTGAGAAGGAACATAGACATAGGCATTATCTATGCACAGCTGCATCTATTTTCCCTGAGAGCTCCATCTTATTTAAGGTAAACATAAAGTAAAAAAAAAAAAAAGACTTTGAAGCCCATTTTAACTGATTCTATCAGTTGCTATGAGAAAGAATGCCTTCCATTAGCAGAGGTGACATGAAGTCATGACTAAGAGGACAACCTATGGGATCAGGCTGAGGTTCAAATCTTGCCTCTGATGCTTAGTAGCTGTGTGACTTTGGGCATACTACTTCACTTCTCTGGGCCATAGTTTCTCACTTGTAAGTGGATGTAATATAGACTATTAATGTTCCACCCAAATCTGCTTACCAGACATAGTCCAAATTATGACACATTCATCCTCCAGGTGCTGTGAGTGTTGGTTGCTATATTAACCAGATAGTTTCCATAACAAGATTCCACAGCCTGGGTACTTTCTTAAAAGTCTCAGATCACAGTGGTGGCAGGAGTGGAATCTTCTGAGACCCTTCTTCTTGGCCACTCTTTTGCAGCCTCTTCACAAGACTTCCTCTGTGCACACAAGCCCCTGTGGCTGTATTTCTTCCTAATCACTTCTAATAGGACAGCAGTGAGACAGGAATACAACAGCCTCATTTAACTTAATCACCTCTTCAAAGGATTTATCTCCAAAAATAGTCACATTCTGAAGGGCTGGGGATTATGACTTCAATATAATAGTTGCTAATAGCACACAGATGTCCCCAGTTCCACAGAAGCTCTCCAAAATCAAAGAAGTTGCATTATCAAAGGAAGGTGTCTCACCATTTTGCAAAGGCAGTCTTGGCTAATGACTGACTGGCCTGAGGTAGAACCCTCTCAGTATTGTTATTCTTGCCCCAGAGCCCTTGTGTGATTAGGCTGGGGTTGGTGTCCAGCTAAGACCTCATCTTTACTCAGCTCCTTCACCTGCCCCATCCAGATATAGCCTGCTACACCCACCTAACTGCCCCCCAACACTTAGATATCTCCCAAAACAATAAACATGCACCAGAATATCCATTTTGGGCACTACTTCTAAGAAGTTCAACCAAAGACTTGGAAATTGTATTACAATATTTTAATTTATAAGTGTAACATAAAATATTATAGAAAAATAAGTGATCCTATGTGGTAAGATACACAACCCTTATAGGAAAAATGTCAGATGCCAGCAAGGTCACATTCTTTTACACTATTACTTTAATCCTCAGACCTTCTAGAAAACAATTGAGCAATACCCATGGACACTGCTGAAGTGAGCCATTTGTTAGGGATCAGTTGTATCTCAGACAGCTAAGTTCTTTATCTCTGGAGATCTAGAATGCTACTCAAAATCTTCCTAAAATGCTCTTTTTAGGATAATGTCCAGAGCATGGTAGATGTTCAATGAATGTCAGTTATCATTACTTAGCAGGAAGCAAGTATCATTATTTCGCAGGTACCATTACTTAGTAGGTTTGTTTTATAAATAGTTAGAGAATGCTTAAAAATTGTATTTGGAAACATAGCTCACAAAAGTACAGGGCAAGAAAATAATATGATCCTTTCTATGACCATTAATAGTAATATGTCAACTTGGTTAGATGAAGAAATGCTTAGCAGATTAGAAAAGTGTACTTTCGGGTGTGTTTGGATGAGTTATCATTCCTGCCTCTATCCTCTCTGGCACTATTCTCCTGATCTGTGTCTCCGCTGCCATGAACTGAACATCTTTGCTCCACTACACCCTTCCATCATGATGTTTCTGCCTTGGAGCCAGATGACCATAGACCATATCTACTGAAAATGAGAGCCAAAGTAAACATCTCCTCTTTAGGTTGTAGGTATCATCTGGTACCCAGCAGCAGGAGAGCTGACTAATATACCTTCTGTTAGAGATAAGAGGATAGGATTGGTCCTACTACAGAAAGAGGAAGGTAAGGAGAGTGGGAGAGAACATGGTCAAGGAGATGGTAGAAAGCCATCTGGTTTGTGAGGTGCCAAGCTCAACAAACACTTGGTATAGGAGAAAAACTTGTTTGTAATGTCTAGATAGATGAGTGGAGTCTTCAGCCTGGAAACACCAGCAGAGGCTGAGGGAAGATTGCAGTGGCCAAAAAATTCTCTTTTTATGTAAACAGATATATTAGACGTTTAAGCCAAGCTTCCCCTCATCTCCAAGGGGTAGAGATGTCCAAGTGGACATGTAGGCTACATCATTATTGGTACATAAAGGAAGCATTTGCACATAAATGGTGAACAGCAGAGCTAAAATAAAATCCTTCCTCAGGCAGAAGTAACATGTTCTCCAGGAAGACAGGTGAATTCCCCCAATTAGACAAAAGCCAGTCCTAAAACTCCAGCTTTCCATTCTCCCTAGACCCCTCTGTAGGGCACTCATCCCCTGCATTCCAAGAGGAAAAGGATTGACTCTGAAATTTTACTGACTTGGAAAAGGTATTTTGTCAATTTCTGAAGTTTGATTCAAACATACATTAGATTTTATTTTTCCTTTTCAATTTTTAAACGTCATCTCTCCCCCACTGTGAACCATAAAATGGCTTATATCAAGGTTGTTCAGTGAATAGTTAGCTATGCCTAGGATTCCATTCTTATGGTGTCCTAGTTCCCAGTGGAAGGCACTAAGATTGCTCACTGGGCCTCAGGAGTCATAGAGAATGAAAGGCATACTCTGAGACCAGTGATCATTCCTTTCCATGATGAGTCATCCCCTTTTATGGCTACCATGGGCCCCTGCTGGAGTTCCTAGAGAGGCTATTACTCCACATTCCAAATGGCTACATCATCTCTGTTTCATTACAAAGGGCCGTGTTCTGGGCCCATGGGAAGCAACTGTAATTTTCAATCACCATAACATTTAGTGGGGCTGGAGGCTTACAGCAGCATATTTGCTAAGGAACATTTTGAACCAGTGTTCAGTCCAGGGAGAATATGGACAGCCCCCAGTGAAATGAACACACTCATTATGTGAGGGAGAAATGAACACTCCAGATAAGTTTGTTTTTATTTATACATGTTTGCAGTACATGCAGCTTATAATCATCTTGGGGAGTGGGTACATGTATATAATACAGCTTGGTTCTTTCTTTTTTTAATCCCTTTCCCCTTCCCCCCAGCCTCTAATCATCTGTTGATGGGTATACAGGTTGCTTCCAAATAAGTTTTAACACCCAGCTCTGCAATCACCTCCATCACCCACCTCCATCATCTTACACGTTGCTGCCTATAAGCAGCAAATATTGCCTAAAGCACTATGTTACTCTCCCCCTTTAATGGCTCCCCAACTGCCAATACAATTCAGTAAAAAATTTTCATTTTGGTAAGAAAGGCCTTCTACTCATGTAGTTGCGACCCACTTTCCTAGACCTACCTTTTCCTACCAATGAATTTGGTAGCTCTTATTTAAAGGCCTAAACCAAAAGGGAGTTTGATTGGATGCCCTAGGCTGGGTCCTAACAACTTTAATTTTCTAATGCTTTCCAGAATAGCTCTCATATGTACCTTTGAGTCACAACTTTGGCTTTTGTAACCTGGACACTTTACATTTTTCTTTGAACTCAATCTTGCTTTCCAACTTCATTCCTTGAAAGTGCTGCTCCTTCCAGAATTTCCATCTCCAGAATGGTAGCTATTAGTCACATGTGGCTATTATCGAGATTACAGCGTATTTCTAAGATTGTGGGAAACTCTTTTGGACAGCATCGTCCCAGGGTGCCCTCTCTCTATACCTGCTAGTACACAGCCTTCAGTTCCAATTTGGTTAAGAACAGTGATGGCAAATCTAGAGAATAAGTGCCCAAACTACAACCCAAAACTCACTTATTGCAAAGTGCCAACACTGAAATTTAAACCTGAATATCTGATGCTTGGCTGCTGGGGCAATGCTGGGACAACTGGGCATGTGTGCTGACAGAAAGGGCTCTGCGTGCCCGCTGCGGCACATGTGGCATGGGTTCACCAGCACTGCGCTAGAATGTGGGTCTCTTCTCTCTGACCTTCAGTTCCCCTCCTGGCCAGCACACCACCCACCATAGACCATGCCCACCCTGGAAAGAGAAACGAACCTCAGACCATTGCAGGACTCCAGCTGTCTTAGTTCTGGACTTGGTGGAGTACAGGAAGTAACATCTCATACCCGCTGTGAGCCAGTGTCACACCAAAAAGAGTTCTCACACCAAGCCTTGTAATTGTGTGATTCCTTTCTTTACTTCCTTTTATACAATATCTACACATAGGGCTTCCACAAATGCCCAATCCCACCCCATGCCTCAGAGAAAGGATCCTCACAAACCTCCCAGATCTCACAGCACACCAGGTCTTTCATAGCATAGCAGGGATCAAATCTGCCTTGTCAATAATGTCACTGGCTGCAAATGAAACTGAATCTCAAATACAAACAAGACATTATGATCTTGAGGGGAGCTGCACAGCAGTTGCTTGGTTTTACATCTCCGCAATGTTTCTCTCACATAACAAGCTATAGGTTGGTACCTTGACCTTTTCTAAAATAAATCCTCAAAACTAGGGCTAAAATTAACTACCTTGATTAGCTTAGCCTACAGCATCACATGAGGCTGTGAAAAGAAATAATTTTCTCGCCAAAATGCATATTCATGACCCTTTCTGTACGAAGGGCTAAATTAAGTACCGTACAGTACCTTTTTATATATAGGACAGCAGGTCCTGCTGTTTTCCTCTGAGTGACATCTCTATATTTGATCAAGTGCACTAAGGGCTCTCCACTCCCCCTACACACACACACACACACACACACACACACACACACACACACAGAACAGAAAATAATCCTTTTGGAAACAGGTCTCTCTGGAGCTCTAGAGTCTGTGATTTTATCCTATGTGTCAAGATGATTCTCCCTCAGGCAAAGCTATAATATTTCTTTGAATTTTTTTTCTTTTTTCTTTGAAGAGCAAAAGCCAAAATGACAGGGGAAAAATTTGTCTTTTCTCCACCTGATTCAGAGAAATGAATCCAGGTCAGGAAATTCAGTCTTTCAAAGGGAATAGAAGGAGACTGCACAGAGACTGAAGGAGTTTATCCAGTAGCTGGATGCTGTGTTGGCTGGTAGAAGACACCTACTTCTGTGACATTAGGCAACTGCTTTAAGTTTCTTGAGCTTTGGAATCTCATCTGTAAAAAGGAAAAAACAATAGCTCACCAGCTGAAAACAGAGTCTGACCTTAATGGTTTTGCATTACATTCTGCTCTAAGGCTTATACGTTATGGCCTGGAGTCATGGATTAGACCAGTGTTGTAGTCATTTTGGGCTGCTGTAACAATGCCATAGACTGAATGGCTTAAACAACAGAAACTAATTTCTCACAGTTCTAGAGCCTGGAAGGTTCACAATTAAAGTGTCTGGTGAGGGCACTCCCCTTAGTTTGCAGTTTTTCTCTTCCTTCATCCTCACTTGCCAGAGAACAGAGAGACAGCAAGCAATCCGGAGTCTCTACTTACAAGGGTACCAATCCCATCATTAGACTCCATTCTCATGGCCTAATAATATTTTAAAGATCCCATCTCCAAACACCTCCCCACTGTGAAGTCAAGGGAGGTCCGCAAACATGCAGTCCATCACAACCAGTGTGCACAGAAGTCACCTAGGGAACTTGATGAAATTTGTATTCCTGCATGTCTGACATGCTTAGGGATGAAAGAGAGGGTATTAGCCTTTGAATCAACCTCTGAGTAGCAAAAGAACAAACCACTGTTTTCAGCCTCTGACTTCCTGGTATCTGTCAAGAAGTGAGATGATAACTAAGACTTACAAAGCAGAACCATTTAAATTGCGACCAAAACAAAGCTCTGCTTCCTCTTTCTTACTCTATTTTGGCTGTGTTTCCTCATTAGCAGTTTCCTTCATGTAGATAGGAGTGCATTTGGCAACTTGTTTATTGGCAGAGAGAACATCTTGCAAGCCAAATAGGACTTCCTGTTTGGTGAAATCCTGGAGCCATGATTTCTCTTTTCCACCTCCAGCCTCCTGAAAAACATTTGTCTCCCAGTGGCAGCCCTCTCTCTGTTAACTAGCCAGCTGGAGGCAATCAGCAAACTGCCAGAAGATCCTTGTTGACATAAGACTGTCTTAGCTCACTGATATGAAGAGTTTCCTCTTAATACAACAAGATGGTCCAAGAACCACAAAGGAAAACACAAGGGTTACTTGCTGCACAGATACTGTGGGCATGGTGCTCATTTAATATTTTTGTTAAAGGAAGTATGTATCATTTATATTAGGTAAGGCAAATTTCTCTGATCATACTTGAAAAAGTTTCTACTGCAAGGTTGGTATTTTCCTGGGTAACGTGTTCATTCTTGAACTCCACAGTGCCTGCTGAAATATAGTTATTGTCAGAGAGATCAAAATAAATTCAAGTTTAAAAGGAAGACTTTCATTGCTGTAAAATCTGGAAAAGCTTCCATTTCTATGTTCCCAGGATAGAAATACAAAATATATAAATATAATATATATATATACACACACACGTATACACACACACACACACACACACACACACACACACACATATATATATAAGGGAGGGGAGAGAGAGAGATATTGTTTTTTAAAAGAACTGGCTCACATTTGTACAATTATGGCAGCTGGCAATTCCAAATCTGCAGTGTAGGCTGTCAGGGCATGACAGCAGGCTAGAGATTCAGGAAAGAGTTAATATTCCAATCTTAAGTCTAAAGGATGTCTGGAACAGAATTCCTTCTTCTCTGTAGAACGTCAGTTCTTTTTGTCTTTGGGCTTTCAGTTGATTGAATGAGTTATGGAGGATAATCTGCTTTATTCAATAGCTACTGATTTAAATGTTAGTTACATCTTAAAAACTCCTTCACAGCAGGAGCTGGATTGGTGTTTGATAAAACAACTGAGTCCCCCACAGCCTAGTCATACTAACACATAAAATGAACAATCCCAGGTTCTAACAGGAGTATTCTTCTGCAAACTTGTTTTTGGACAATTTTTTGATGAAGTTGTCAGGGAACTCAGATTTTCCACTCAAGATTACAAAAGTCTCAAGCATAGAATCTCAGGTTATTTCCAAAGCTCAAGAACATCTTGACATTTAAATGTTGGCTTTTAGGCAAGGGAGATCACAAATTTGTTAATGAATAGAAACCCCAAACTATAATCATAATGTGTACCCTATCTCACTAAGCTCTTTGTTGGGAACCACAGGAAACAATCCTAACAGAGTTCTCCTGAGCATCCTTCTCAAAATATTCTTGTCTTCTTTTCTTTGGCGCTTTCAAATCTCTCTAGCAAGCCTGGAGGTTTGGGTCAAGATGCTGATGCCCATTGTGGACAGAACCAGGTAAGCGCGTCACCTTATGGAGTGGTGCCTGAACAAGCAGGTGTGCTCTAGCATGATGGTAGGAAAAGTTCCAGCACTCAGGGCTCAGACATTCATGAGAATAATTTTCCTTATGGATTACTAATGCAGTGATTCAAATGGTTATTCTGCGACATAGATGGTATGCCAATAAAACAAAAAAAAATTAAATTGAAAGCCTAATTCAGAGAAAACTAATGAGGAAATAAAAGAACTCCATTGTCCTCTTATAATAGCCAGAAATCACTTCCAACTTTTTAAAAAGGTAGGTGTTTTAGATTAGGTTCCCTAGAATAAGGCTCTAGATGAAGAATTCTGTGGAAGGTATTTATTGGCAAGGCAGTACCCAAGTAGACTTCCACAAGACATGACTTGGGCACAATCTTGTGGAGCTCTAGGGACAATTCACAGGGAGACACTGGGAAGAGGGCTGCCTCTAGGGGCTGGCAGTGTGGGAGTCAGGTGTGTATTCCCAGGCACTCCTGGCTCTCCTTGAGTTTAGACAAAGCAGGCTCTGGCAGCCTAAGAGAAATCTTTCCAAAAGAGGCAAAAGGGGAAGACTGAGCACAAGAAAATGGTAAAGTATCTAGCAGGGTATGGACAGAATATTGATAACAGCTGCTATACTGGGGGAGAACTTTTTTTCTTGACACTAGATTCCTATTCAGTTTTCTCCAGGGCTTCCTATTTTTGGCTCCCCTACTAAGAAACCCCCTTGCCATACACCTGCACCAAAAATAAGAAACAGAAGCCCAGATGCACACTCTTCTCCATTCATAAGTACCTAGAGTGCTTAACCTGACCCACATTTCTTACCACTTCTCAGGTCTTGACCCTTGGACCAACTGTTTCACTTATTCATCATTCATATTTTAATTTGTCTAGCTCCATCAAATGGTGACTTTGCCTTTACTGAACCAGAATTTCAAACCCAAATGAGTCTTCACTTCACACCAAGCACAGCCAACCCCAGCATTTTGGTTAGTTCCTCAAGTACAGTTAACTTTCCCCTCCCTTCCCTTCAATTCCCTTGGCCTCCAGATCTGGCCCTGGCCCTTTATGTACTGTCCTGACTTGCTTAACCATGGTGTTTAAGTTCATGTTTAGCTGATAACTTTCTTAAGAAATCAGCATCTTCATGGAGAAAATCTTGAAGTCACAAGGTTCACTTTCCTCTCTGTTAGTATTCCACTCATCATTCCTTCAGAACATATGTTTGTGCACGGCCCCTGACCTCCTGCTGCAAACAATGAGAAAGCACAAGGCATGCTTATTGATTTGCATCAAGTTCCTGTCATAAACAGCAATGCTAAGTCATCCTCTTAGAAAATTAATTTGACTCTATTTAATAACTAGTGAGAAACAGATACATTGTATATTTGCAAGGTAATAGTATTAAAAGTCTTTGTTCCAGTGAAGCCTAAGTCAAGTTTCAATAGAGGAAAGGAGAACACCTAGCAAGAATATTTCTCTTCAAATTTACATTTTCCAATGCTTTTGCTGTATCTACCAGTATGTCTAAAACTCAGAGGAAAACGGCAGAAAAATGACTTAAACTAAGGATCAGCAAACCAGAGACTGCAAGCTGAGTCTGGGCTGCCTGTTTTTTGTTTGTTTGTTTGTTTTTTTGGTACTGGGCATTGAACTTGGGTCCTTGCACTTGCGCAGCAGGCAGCAAAACCACTGAGCTAAATCCTTGGCCCTGGGCTGCCTGTTTTTGCAAATAGGGTTTTGATGAAACACAGTCATAGTCTGTATTGTCTATAGCTGTTTTCACTCTTCAGTGCCAAAGTTCAACATCAGAAATGTATAGCTGTGACAGAGGTGGTATGTCACAAAGCCTAAAATACTTATTACTGAAAGTTTAACAACCCATTATTTTGACAACAAATAGCCATTCCTGACTCTAAATAAATATTGTACACAAATCATGGCTCTAGCAGCAGCCTTTTCTTCAAATCCCTGGTTGCTTCCAAAGCATCCATCCATAGTAAACATGGAAATTCTGTAACAGTTCACGGTCGGTGCAGCCTAGAATCTCCACTGTGGACCATAGGACTTGTCACCTGAGAAAACTCTTGCTGAGCTTGTTCTGGATGTTAAAAGCCAATTTAACAACTGAGAAAACCATTTTTAGTATCTGATTTCAGTGTGCCAAGTTTTATTCAAACACTAACCCTGTGGACAAGCCTTTGCCTGAAAACCATGCAGCTACAAGGGACAAAGTTGCGTGTGAGGCTATATCCTTCTAAAGGCTGTGCCCCCTATGATCAAATGACTAAACAATCTCTACCCTTGACTCAGGGAGAGATGCAAGAAAGCCTTGTTTTCACTCAGGACTTTGAATTAAAAAAAAAAGACAATGAGAAATTAGAACCCCAAATCTGAACTGTTTAAAATCTGAATTTATGATCCTCATGTGTTAAAGGATCTCATGAGAAATTAACGTTAAACTAGTCTAAAGCAGTTATACAGGACATCTGGTAGAAAAAAATTACATTTCTATTACCTGCCATATAGCATTTTCTCAGAGAAAAAATCTCTACTAACGATAAACTCTCCATAGAAAATTGTTCCAAAGAGTACTGCAATGAGCATCTGACTTTGCATACTTTGTGGAGTAACAGTCATGTGGGCCTTAGTGACAGGGATACATTCTTAGTGTCACTGGGCAATTTTACTATGCACATAAATGAGTGTACCTAAACTAAGATGAACATAACATAACTAGGCAGCATCATATATGGGGCCACCATTATACAGCTGGCTCATAGTTGACAGAAATGT